CAAATAATATAATTTATTTAAACTCTAACTTGTTTTCAAAATCCGATACAACTGAATACCAAACAATCCTCGAGATCTTCAACACAATACATCCATATATTTTCAAAATACACCCTAACAGGGTGCTCACTTGAACTGCTGACGATCTACCTGAACTTCGTTAGACCTCCGATAGATCGGACTCTGAGAGGATGCCAAGTACGTGTGAAAGCAGATTGTATGTCTCTACATAGGTAGGGCGTATACGATTGGTCGCAATGCAGACAATACTTACAAGAATTAGTTCAATTAGTGGATATACGCAAGAGATTTAGTTTCCCGCGAAAAATTCCATTTTCCTGTAAGTCGAATAGGTGTTAGATCTGCTCTGGAAATTCGCCAAATGTTCTCGAGTGCGACTCAAAATAAACTCGAGATCCGCCGGTTCCCGTCGCGATCGACCGTTTGAGCACACTGCCTAAGGCCGTTGATTCTGTCCCCACCTGATTCAGCATAGCTTGTTAACACAATTTTTTGAAATTGATTAAGTTTACTTTTTACTTGAGTGTCTGATTACAAACATTTCATTTAGAATACTTAACATATATAAAGAAAACCGACTGCGCATGCGCCAAAACAAAAATTTTTTGATTGGCATTAAGTTGTCACTTTACTCGAACTCGCGTGGCCTATATACAAATTTCATTTAAATATATTAATAAAATAAAAAAATTAGGATTGCATACAAATTAACAAAAGTGTTATTTGCGCATGCGCTACTAATTTTGTTTGCATCTGCCAAGTTGCCTGAAGTTTAAGGAAATATCTTTAATCTTAACATCAGAAAACCGCACATTCATAGGTTCTTCCTACAACTAATATTAGTAGAAACCCTTTTTGGATATTCTGCGCAGTTTTTTGGTCTTAACTATTTGCCTGTTGTTACGTAGCCGAAAAACAATTGTGAACTTTGTTATAACATCCTGAAGGAACAGTATATCAATTTTAACGATCGGACTTTCTACACAAAGTCCCTTATACGACACACGAACAGACAATAACGACCAGACAACGCACAGTACTACAACCAATATATTATAAACATCTCGAGCTGGATATATAATGAGTACGAAAATAATTTTTAATTTTTTTTGTACTTCTTTCCAATCACAATATTCGTTTTTCAACTTTCTTCTCCCTAATACAAGGAAGATGCATAGACAACTCAGGGACACTTTTCAACATGACTTTTTTAAAACCTTAACACAACAACTTGCTATATATATTTATTATAATTAGTAAAAGAATCAAATTTCAATACTCACTTGATCAAGATCTCTTCCATCACTAGTGAAACAATCCCAATCGATAAAGTTACTTAGAATTGTAACTTCCGCAGATTTTGGGCCATAAAAAACATGCGTTATCTCTCCCCTTTTTAATTGGGCGAAAACCCGTTGAGGGCCCAGAACAAGAAAGGGACAATAAATAGACAATAAATAAATAATTTTTATTTATCCACTACATCTCCGAGAGGGGCAAAATCAAACTGATCTGGATGATAGTTTTTTTGTTTAAAGGATGCCGCCTGAAAATTTGTTGTAGTGTCTAAAAAAAGCCTATAAATAGCCTATAATTGTGTGATCTGAATTTTTCGCCTTCGAAGCAAATCTCACAAGTGGTCAGCTAGCTTCGTCTTTAGCCAGCAGAGCCATAGTTTTTTTCTTTAAAGGATGCCGCCTGAAAATTTGTTCAAGTGTCCAAAAAGGGCCCTATAATCAGCCTATAATTCTGATGTATTTCGTCCTTCATTTTTCTAAAATGGCTCTGCTGGCTTGTGGGACCTGAAAAATTCCTAACAAGATTTCAGAGAAGATTCTTCCAAGTTTTTCCAAAAGATTTCTAAAACATGTCTCTAATAAGGTTTTACAGAAATAGGTATCTAGTTTTTCTAAAGACGGACTGGACAACAGGATACCGGATGAAATTCCCGCCAGGAAAAGAGACTTATAAAATCTCTTAATAACTCAACTCTTAAGGGATAATAAAATCTTTAAGGCAGCTGTGCCCAAACCTTTTTTCCGTGTACAAGTCATGCGCAATGTGAATGAGCTGAAGACAAACTATCAGCAGAAGTATGGTGTATATCTCATTAATTAAAAACTAGCAGTTTCGGCGAACTTCGCATCGCCTTTGGGAAATCCACTTTTTTCCAGTACCCTGTTCCCGTGCACATTCTAAATGTCAAGTCTCTTTTCGACTGTAAAACATAAAATCCTGTTTTTCCTGTTCCCGTTGCCGTGGGAATTTCGGAAAGTGTTTTACTAACTCAAAAACTTTCGCGGGTGTACTTCCAACCATTGCCCAAACATTCATTTTTATTTATATAGATCCTGGCGAACCTCGTATATATGGGTACATTAGCATTGCCTAACATTAATAATATCCCTTGGCAAATAGTGCTTTCTGACAAAGTCGCCGCGCAATTGGAAGACTTTGGGAATCCCGAAGGACGTCTTGTGGCTGTAAACTGCAGTGATAAGACCTATGCTCTGCTATGGAGCAATTGGCCTAAAATCAGATCCACAACCATAGCACTTCTTTCTAAGATTTGACTCAAAGTAGTTTTTAAATGCAACGCCCTGTATATCTTAACGTCAATTTTTGGTATTCTTTTCCTGATTTCATTGTATAATTATATTTATTATATCATATTTCTCAAATTTTGGAAATGACATGTTTAATTTTCATGACATGGTATTGGCTACCTTAGTTACCATGGATACAATAAACAAAACAAAATCTCCTGAATCCATGGCCTACTGTTTAAAAACTGTAGAAAATAAGATTTATATTTTTGGTTGGTGTCTAAAATGAAAAACAAAATAGGTTGTGATACATCATTGTAATCAGGAAAAAGAATGCAAAGAAATTGATATTATGATATACAGGGTGTTGCATTTAAAAAATACCAACATTGGGTCAAATCTAAAAAACGGTGGCAAAAACCTTTTTTTGACCACGCCACTGGATTATAAGTCAAAATATCTAAAATAGGCAGTTTTTAGCGTCGCATCTCGTAAACAAACGCACGTAAAATGGTTCTGTTTGCGGTATTAAAAGTTTCATAAAAAAGTGGCACAGGGTCACGAAACCCAAGGAAGAACTGATTAAATTTTCCATGACCCAGGACTTTCTGTCTGTCCGTTCGTCTGTGTACAATGTAATTTATTTGTCCCTCTCTTGTTCTGGGCCCTCAACAGGCTTTCGCCAAATTACAGAGTGACCCGCATAATACCTTTTAGAGGTGCCCCTGCAGAAGGTCTTAAGTTGTTCTATACTACTCCTATTTACCTTACGAATTAGGAAAACTGCCGGAAAACCTAATTCGGAGTAGCCGGCAAAATGCTCGAAACTGATCTAAGGAAATTCCCATCTCTGCTACACATGAAAAATTCACCTCAGCCCAGGTTCGAACACCTGACCTCCCGGCTATGTAGCCCACTGAGCCACACAGACGGGTAATATTCTGTGTACATGATATATATTTGTTACAAGCTTATTTTATGTTTAGAATGTGAATGTATGTGTAAATGTCGATGACATAGTGAGTAAATTCGAAATAATTTAGAGCGCTTGTTATTTTAAACACAAGGAAAAGTAAGAACTATTAGTTGATGATAAAAGTGTTTATTTATTTGCATAAATCTTAGAGAATGCAAAGTCTATTGCTGACTGGATATTGCTAACTTCACAGAGGTATTACCTTCGAGTAAAGAAAGACAGACAAGGTCACCACAGACCAGACGAGATATACCACTCAAGGGAAATAGAAGAGACCAAAATCAGTCAGTTCTAATCCTGACCAATATTAAAAACGAAATTAGTATTCATATTTCTATACAACCAGGTGGATTTACCTGTCCTCCAGCTCTAGCACCTATCTTCAAAAGTTGCAGCAGTAAGAAAACTGTTTACAGAACAGATCAAAACAAGCGACAAAACACTATAATATACTTTTACTTTCATTCATTGTGCCAAAGTCTCAGTGCAAAGATCTGAACCCTAAGACGAATTAAACTTGTGCCGGTATAAGCTTATCGTTGCCTGTAGAAAAAATCATCGAAATGGGTTTTTACACTTGGAAAGAGGTACAATCTCGTATACTTACAATTTGGTAGGTAAAAAACTAGGCGAGTCGTCCTTGTTCTTTAATATCTCATTGCACTTATTGACAGTGTCGAATAGAAGGAATGTATCGCCAACAGAAAAAAGTGTAGCCAACGATCTGGCAATTAACTTCCTTGTGGGCGGTCCAGGTGACTCTTGAATGTGACTTGTTAATTGCTCCACTAATTTCTTTTGGCAACCCTTAATATCATTCTAAAAACAAAGTTTCAACGGAATACAGAAGTAAAAACACGCCTACCTTTTGAGCTGCAATTAATACTTTATCTAAAAATCGAAGCCATTCAAATACAAATACCGGCCTCTTTGCTGCTGGAACTTGTGCCAATGCTTCTTCGTTCAATGTTAGACTATGCGAAAGCTCCATTATGATCCAGTTTGTTGTGGAATGGTTCCTGCATATAAACAATATGAGTCAAATCGTTATTGCTGCTTTCATTCTGTACAGGCATTAGTTACGATTTGTTATTGTTCATATGGTAAGAAAGGTCCCAATTTTTCAAACATAACCAGCAGGCCTACAATACTGCTTGGATACTTTGGTGAAATGTGACGTAAAAGACAATACTGTTCAATGTTTGGGTCTAAATATATTCCTTCTGGTACCAAGTTTACCTACTTCGTGCAATACAGAATAGTCACAATGTGAAACATGTTAAATATGCCAATGTTAGTAGACGTGTTGAAATGCACTCAACATTACCCGAGATGTGTGACTATTGACAAGTTCAATTTTTACCTTGTGTGCTACCATTAGACAATTATCGGATGGCTAGAGAGTTTATTTATTTTGATTAAAGTTATATAATCCACCACTATGCAACATTTCAACAAAACTGTTCCCCACGAGTTGTCTTTGTAAGACAAAAGGGTGCATATTGAATACTTTTAAGTTAATTTTCTCTAAGTTGTATAGCAATGAAAGATGAGTAGTAATGATGAATGATGATGTTTATGTCTATGACGTTCCAGTAAAAACAAGTGGCAGTGACTGCAAGACTGAAGGAAACATGTAGGTACAGAACATAATATTAAAAATTGTAGAATGTCATAAATAAATTGTACCTGCACAGTTTACTCCTTGGGGTGCATTTATTCACAAAACACTCACAAAAGCAGTGTAATTCGGATTATTGGGTATTTATTATTTATTGTTTAAATTAGGGCACAAATTATACACCACAAAATTTATCCCACTCATTGATGGATGACAACTACGCATGCGTACGGTTTTTTTCATACTACGAATATATTACACTTGGCAAAATTTATACAAAACCTAATTACTGTGTGGATGGAGAATTCAGAACCGCAAGGTTCAAGGAATGAATAAACGATTAGACAATAGGTAGTTGATTAAAGGTCGCATTGTACCAAACTGTTTGAAATACATTGCAGTTGAACTAATAGCATTCAGAAATTCCAATGGTTAAAATTCAAAATCAAATAAGTACTTACATCAAATTCTGTCAGTCCAACCCTTCTTCTTCAGAGATGCCTCAGGGGTGGAATTAGTGGCTTTTTCTTATCCACATTGAGGTAACTTTGATAGTCTTTCATCGGGTCGAGGTAGCGCCAGTCCATATATGATGGGCAAATTTGTTCCTGTAGGATCATCTAGCTTTCTTCCTCCTATTCTGACGGCTAGAATTGCGTTTATTGTTTTATTTTTTTTCTCGGCAACTGTAAAAGAGGAAAAGATGGAGCTCTAACCCTAAACCAGGGTGCAAACGAAAACTTCAATCACGTTGTTACACATTGGCTTGAGCTCACCCTTTGTACTGGGAGTAAAAATGTTTAACAAATTACCCGAACAAATTAAATGCTGCAATACACTAAATAACTTTAATAAGAGATTACTTCTATACTTAAATAATCACTGTTTTTACAATATCAAAGAGTTCCTTGAACATGCTTAACTGTGATATTATTTGTCTGTCAGTAATTATGTGTATTTCACATATCCTATACCTACCACGGTCCATGGAATAAAAATATTATTATGGTCGGTGTATCTTGTGAGAACTCAGGTCTAGTAATCAAGTAACGATTAGTGTCTGTGTCTGTGTCTGGTGAAGTTATGTAGGGTCCTAAAAAAAATAAAAGAAATAAATAAATAAAATAAAAATTCACACCCTCACATTGGAAATCTAGAGATAGTATGTATTTCATACTTACCAACATAGCTATTGATGGGCACAATAGCCAACGCTATCAGGAAAGAGGAAAACAAATCAAACAAAAAAATCATTATAATAATTCCTGTAATTTTATTAAATGGAGTTTATTGTGTAAGTGTTTCTTTGGCTTTGCGTTTGGGTTGAATACGATCAGTGGGTTGTGATAACGTGGTGTGTTTCTGTGATTTTATTGGGTGGACCTGTCTTTGTGGTGCATGTTGCCTTACTTGTATTTATTGTGTTTCTTTGTTCTTGAGGTTGTATTTGTGTGGTTGCTTGGGTTATTGGTGGAGACATTACAGTATTTTGTGAGCCTGTAGTGCTGTTAAGATTGTTGCGTTTGGGTTGAGTACGAGTGGGTTGTGATAACGTGGTGTGTTTCTGTGAAGAAGGAGTTTTGTGTTTTTTAACTGTGCTAGGACGTGTAACTTTATTGGGTGGACCTGTCTTTGTGGTGCATGTTGCCTTACTTGTATTTATGGTGTTTCTTTGTTCTTGAGGTTGTATTTGTGAGGTTGCTTGGGTTTTTGGTGGAGATATTGCAGTATTTTGTGAGCCTGTGGTGCTGTTAAGGTTTTTGCGCTTCGGTTGTATACGAGTGGGTTGTTTCGCTGAGAATTATTATTATTATTCAAAGAAGAAATGTAAATTTTGCGACTTTTAATTAATGGCGTAGCTCTTAATCGATGCGTTTTGAAACATCAATTTATTTGAAGAAAATATTTGTTTTGATCTCCCCTACTATAACCAATGGTTTGTTGACATACTGGAAGGCTTTTTTTAACAATGTAAAATACATGGGCCCGTCCAATTTGTAATAAACATACAACAATTGAAATTTGAGAGGTTTAGGTACTGCTTAGCTCGCATTTGGTGTTCAAAATTCTCACTGTAAATAAGATGTTCGCATAATATATTGTAAAAATAACGTCACAAAAACTTGTACAGCAAGCCCATCTACTCGTACCAATTTCAATGCTGAAAGTTGCTCTACATTTTGACCCTACCTAGGGGTTTCAATCATATTAAATGATTCCAAGTTGTCCTTAAGTTTGTGAATGCTTTCCGAATTTTTAAAAAAGTTCGCGAGTTCGGGTTTGTGTACAAAAATTTCCGGGTGCAAAATTAAGATCGCCGTTTCTCGCTCGCGTCCCCTCCACCCCAATTGTGCGCCATGTCGAGATAGGAAATGCTCGAACAAGATCAAAACAGAAATGCTCAAAAACTGTCTGGGTCGCCTCTGAGTTTGGTGTAATCTTTTGCACCCAGAAAACATATTGTCGTGACCATGAGTACCTTGTACACCCCCGTCCCCAGGTACAACGGAGCTTCTGATAATAATACCTGTGTACATTCCGATAATAAAGTAGAACAAATTTGCCTGCAATTTATAGTCTTTCGTGACATTTCGATCCCCCGCACGTCGTTAGTATTTTCGCTAAAGATAGTACATTCCGGGCAGAAATCGTTAACTAAACCGATTTTGAATGTTTAACGTGTCCGTAATTTCGCTCTGTATACGAAACAGATTATAGTGAATAGGTATATGCGAATTTTGTGTAAAGGTTCGTTGACTATTATGGTTTATGATTTATAAATAATGTAAATATCTAATAAAAAGGAGAACCGTTACACCGTGAGATAATAAGTTCGATGCTCCCGTTTAAATGAAATGTGTGCAAGACGAAGGGTTGCGTTGCGGTGGCGCCAAATCTTTTGAAACACCTGGTAACCGTTGAAAGAACTAAAAGTAAGATGGCGTAATGTGAGTTCACGACTGTGTGTATGTGCTTTAAAGTGCGGCAATATTAATGAAAAAGCAGCTGATATTAAATTACGATAATTCGTAGTACGACTTCCGTTGACATTTATAAAACTCGCATTGAATAATGTTCCTTGATAAAAAAATGTGGTTAGTGCCCTAATTAATGCCTAATAATGTGCGAATATAACAATAACAGTGGGAGAGCCGAAATGGCTGGAGGCGATATTGACTTAAATGCTCTTTTAGTACAAAAAGATTTGCATATTCGCGAACAGCACGACCAGATACTTAGGCTAAAACGAGAACTCGATGGGGTGGCCAGCGAAAGAGATCTTTTGTTGTGCGAAGTCAGCAATCTTCGTTTTGAATTGGAGATGGTCGAACTGAAACGTCTTCAGGATGAAAGGTAGGAAAAGAACAAATAAAATAAAGGACCCCATTTACGTTCATTCGTAATTTTAGTTCGGTGGGGTAAGAGAAATAAAAATAGTGCACATATTTGTAGAATACCAAAATCTTCGATAATCCAATAAAAAAGACGAGCCGAAGTGCTTGTGGCATTAATTAAATTAAAAGCATTTGATATGGCTTAATGTTGACTTCTTGTGCATCCAATGGTATCTATTAGACACCCGTTCATTTAATTAGTCTATTTTTAAATTAAATTAAAATCACGCTCTGCTAAGCGTATTTACTAACATCTGCTTATTCGATCAAGAGAGTTCACGAGAACTTGCGTAAATTAGCGTCGGTTAATTATTTCAAATTTTTACTCTTAACTTATTAGATTCCGGTTACCGTGAGATTCTTTTATATTATAATTTACCCACTTCCGGTTTCGCTGTACTCTCGATTAATTAATGAAAAATTGCAGGTTAAAAAACAAAACATTATTCGCAAAAATCGCCCTTGCGTATCGTACTTTCCACGTACATAACGTGAACAATACGATGTTGTCTTAAAGGGGGGGGGGGGTGAGTAACTACCCCAGATCTCGTGTGTTGTACTAGCGGTTAGTCATCCAAATTATTGTTTTCTAACTGTGATAAGCAAACTACGTTGAAGTTACCTTTATACAAACTGTAGCAGATAACGAAAATGGCATTTTCTCTGATTAGGACAGAAGTGAGGGGTGTCGATCGAAAATTGCTGATGGGGGGGGGGGGGGGGGGGGAGATTTTCAACAATATTTTTCATAGACCACGTTGGTGGTTTATAGCACATTTAAAATATATATCGTGTATGGCATGTATATACAGGGTAATGCATTGAAAAGCAACTTCAAAGACGAAGCAAACAAAAAATTGGTAATATGACTCTTCTACAGGGCGTGGTACGGGCATGTTTATCTGAGTGAGTAGCTTGACTCCGAGCTTGACTCACTCACATTTACTTGTTTCGCAAGATGGATAGGGATCCCAAAATTTCCATAGAATTTAGATGGTTATACATAGCAAACCAAATGGTAGACTCATCGATTTGAGTGTGTTTACGTCGTATTTTTTTGTCACGAAATCATCAACCAAAAGGGCTTTACAAAAAGCTTTAATCTAAGAGTAGGTAGGTAGTTAGTTCATGCCTAAAGTTCATCTTGCCATTTTTTTCCTTTTTTTATCGTGACGCTTCAAATTCCATTACTCGCACTTTTGTTATCCGATTGTAGGTATGTACTTTAATTCTTATTTCTGGTTTTGTTTTAGGTACTGTCTTTTTCTGTTGAGAAGTTAAACTGGTTGTACTGTACCGCTGACCGAATTTGTTGACAATAAAATCTTAGTGTGTATTATTTTTCTTAATGCGTGGGTGGTTTTTCGCTTCCTTATCTTGGGTATTATTCTAGTGGATCTTACCCAACTATACACATAGGCGTGTCGTACATAATAGTTTAGGGGTTGAGAGGCAGATTTTCGATTTGACACTAGTGCAGCCGAGCTGTCACGAAAAGGGTAAGTGGTGATACGATTCCGAACATGCGGACATTTATTGCGGCAATGCATTGCACACCCCCGAGTTCTTGGACTATACTTCAAATGTTGATATTGTCCTGTCGTTTTGTTACACCATTCTAATGTAAATTAAGCTGACCGCCCGAGGTTCAGCGATTACTTTGCTTTTAGTTAAAGGAATGTTAGTAGGTGTTCCACAATGCTCAATGCTGCTCTCGGTTCTTTCGATTCGATTTGTGGTAATCGGTTTTAGATAAGAGCAAAATTTGAATTCCTCCATCGACTTATACTTAATGTGGGTATAGAGAA